ACCATCAGGTACAGTTGCACAGCCGCTGAGTATGGAAGTGCGCCGGCTCTGGCAGCGTTGGGTCTGGATCGGATGACGCTGAGAGAAATTGCGTGGGGATCCCGGTAGAGTGCGGTAGACTGAACGGCGAGGACTGCATGCCAACGGCACGGCAGACTGCAGACCCACGACACGGCAAGACCGCAGACCCACGACACACGGCAAGACCCGCAGACCCACGGCACGGCAAGGGCTGCGGACACACGACACAGCAAGTGCCGCAGACCTACGGCGCGACAAGGACCGCAGATCCACGGCACGGCAAGGACTACAGATCCACGGCACGGGACTGCAGACCCACGGCACGGCAAGCACTGCAGACCCACGGCACGGCAAGCACTGCAGACCCATGGCAAGGTATGGACTGCAGACCCACGGCACGGCAAGCACTACAGACCCACGGCATGGCAAGGACTGCAGACCCGTGGCACGGCAAGGACTACAGACCCACGGCATGGCAAGGACCGAAGACTGACGGCATGACGACTGCAGACCCACGGCACGGTAAGAGACGCCGAGCCGGGCCTTGTGCGCTGCAGAGGTCAGCCAGTCAGCTTACGTCTAAGTATGCCCCGAGCGCGACCGAACTTTCGTGTGGGCGATCGACGCCGGCGTCTGGATGGTCGTGTACTGAAGCTCCCTTAGTCAGTGGCTGGGCCCGACCACCAACCCCGAGGAGTGCCACCGACATCCCCCCCTCTCCCTACCTACGCTACCCGTCCCGTCTCGCCACCCCTTCACTCAGGTGCTGAGCCCGACCACCATCCCTAGGGACAGTAACCCCCCCCCCTACCCCCCCCCCAGCCAGGCGCGGTCCCGGCGGAAGGGGCGCCGGGTCTCCTCTCGCCAGTTGGGTTCAGCAGGGCCGCGTCCCCTGAAGCCGGGTCCCAACGAGCGCTGACCACCGCCCCGGGCCCCACGGCCACAGTCGGCCGTCACGTTACCTCACCGATGAGACGAGAGCCGGCTGACAGTCCACGCACCGAGCGGCGCACGCAGTGCATGCCCCAGCCGCCCAGCACGTCTCACAAGCCAGCCGTAGGAATAAGACACGTGTATTTGTTACAAAAGGGCCGAGGCAGCCGTGTGGACGGGACACGCACGTGGTACGTGGCGGTGGACATGGGCGGACGTGCACGGCGCGCGGCATGCAAAGGTGGCTGGCAGCAGCAGGCGCGCCCGCTACACCGCGGTCCCCAGCGCCCGTGCCTGCCGAGGCACCACAGATGCCACACTGAAATGGTGTCCATGTTCACTGGCATCTTCTGCTATTCTACGGAGTTGCGCTCAAGTGAAATGTGACCGCAGAAGAGACGAGTTCAACGGGGTTGCCCAGATTAACCCTAATTTACTTCTAGACGTATGTGCCGACTACTGATATCCATAACAACTAATAGAGACTGGACAACGAAACCATCCATTATACGTAAGTTCGAGGCATTATCACTAGAACAACAGACTCAATACGATCGCGACTGCCAATAAATAAGAAAATAGCCAACATCTGAAACGGAATCTTAATCGCACAGCGTGACAATCACTCGCTCTCGTCATCGCCAGCTCACATGCCCTGCCTAACGCATCGCTCACTCTCCGTCTGGCACTCAACTGCCGCGGCCAAGCGTATTCACAAGTGCCAATTTCGCGCACTTGAAGTTCGCTCCCGCGCTCCCAGGTGGCTCTCAGCAGGCACAGCCACCCTCGGAGCCCTGTGTGAGGTCGATCTTCGGATCTTTGTCCAAGTAAACCTCGGTCACTACAGCAATAAATCAAGGAAATCAACGGAAACAAGCGAGCAAATTCACAACGAAACCATGAACATAATATGCTGCCGACGGGCCACAAATTTACCACCCACGAGTTCGTACTATTTATAAACACCGGGCGTTTAAGACGGCAACAGGCTTTTCGACAGCGTAAGTGTGCCTTGTACATGCATGCATATAAAGTTATGAACACATGTACATTATTCGCATCTCACACACAACCGTGCACACCGCACCCTGCCTCACATCCTATTTCTATGTCCCATGTACGCCATAATATCCCTCATCTCCATCCCTCCTACAAACCACATGAGACTGGGTCGCCTCACAATCAAGCAACTAAATCTCTACTCTGTCCAGAGCTTACGCGGCAGAGCTGATTTCCCCTGCGATTCGTTTCGTACGCTAAGGTCCAAACTTTACAGAAGCATCAACCATATCAAAGTTTAGACGTTACCGAGGCCAGCCGAGGCCAGGACACCACCCCACCCGACCTCAATATTCACATATATGCCTCCCCAGTGACCTTTCCACTTGTTCCACACGAACTAAACACAAATCCGTAGAAATTCATTGCAAACCAACTAAAACCCACGATAGAACACCGGTCTAGTTAGCACGTGCTGTGCACAGGAGAAGGGCTGCAGGAGTTGCGAAACAGACAGGTCCCGCCTGTCAAACCCGACCAGCCGCACGAGCACACCGCACCACACCCACGGAGAAAGCGCACGCCAGCCCCACCCACCGCACGTGCAAGCCACCACATGCAACCAGACGTCACTGCAAGCACAGGCAGTGCCCACAGATGGACCTAACGGAGCAGCATGCTAAAAACGGGATTGCCGCGGCTCACTTACCGTAGCGCCAGCGCCGCCCGGCGAGCGTCGTGAGAACTAGACGGACGAGGCGTTGGGCGGCTGCCTCGCCGCGCATTGCCGTTAGAGCCGGGGTTAGGACACTGCTGGCACCCACGCCTCCGAGACAGACCTGACCGCGCCTCAACGGGCGACCATCGATTAGCAAAGGCATAATGTGTCCAACTATTCCCTGGGATCGCTTTGCACCTATGTCCCGACCCGGCGGCGGCCGCGCACCGAGGTCAGCGGCGGTCGGCGGCCCGAGGCAAAGTGCAATCAACGTCGGCGGTTCCCACCATAGGCGACGGAAGCTCTGGGACGCTGGGCTGCGTCGCCCCAGGAAACTGCGCGACAGTGTCCACAGTGGCCACCACGGTCCCATGGGACGCTGACGGGGCGTGGCCGTCGCTGCAGGACGGCGTTCGCTCTCCGGTGTCGCATTCCCCGCGTTTTCCCGTGTTCCGACACAGCCCGCCAGGCCGGGAGCAGGCTGTCGCCGTCAGCCGTCAGCCGGCCCCACAACCGCCACCGGTGGGAAGCCAGCCAGAGCGCACTAACAGCCCTGAACGCGATCATTCTGAGTCGCGATGATAACCCAGGAAGATAAGAACTGATGCACCCGTTCTTTCTCATCCCACGGCTCCGAAATCGCCAATCGTGGCCAAAACAGCCCTCGCCTAACCAAAGTAAATAATATCGGGCCCACCCTGACTGCCTCGCTGGGCCGGACCAAGGCTGATTGCCTCGCTCGGCCGAACCCACCCTGACTGCCTCGCTCAGCCGGACCCACCCTGACTGCCTCGCTCGGCCGGACCTACGCTGACTGCCTCGCTCGACCGGACCCACGCTGACTGCCTCGCTCAACCGGACCCACCCTGACTGCCTCGCTCGGCCGGACCCACGCTGACTGCCTCGCTGGGCCGGACCAGGGCTGACTGCCTCGCTCAGCCGGACCCACCCTGACTGCCTCGCTCGGCCGGACTTACGCTGACTGCCTCGCTCGACCGGACCCACGCTGACTGCCTCGCTCAGCCGGACCCAGGCTGACTGCCTCGCTCGGCCGGACCCAGGCTGACTGCCTCGCTGGGCCGGACCAAGGCTGATTGCCTCGCTCGGCCGGACCCACGCTGACTGCCTCCCTCAGCCGGACCCACCCTGACTGCCTCGCTCGGCCGGACCCAGGCTGACTGTCTCGCTCGACCGGACTCAGGATGACGGCCTCGCTCGAGCGCTCGTCCAAATTCAAACACCTGCCGACCCGTAAACGGCGGCATGACCACAGGGCTCATCTGCCGACCGCGCCGCCACTGGCGATGCCGCGATCCATTGCAGCGCCGCGGCCCCTACGGTCCGCCGTGGGGCACGCGCGTGTCAGCCGGGCGGCCGGCCGTGTCGGCGCGTAGCCCGTCTGGGCGCGGCAGCGGAGGCGCTCTCGACGCGGGGAGAGGGCGAATGGACCGACCGCGCCCGGCCCAGTCCAGCCCCAGACGGGTCGCGAGCAGCGGGCCGGGCGATACGAGCCCGCCAGACCCCAGCCGCGTCCAGCCGACCCCAGGGTCACCGGGATCGCCGGCCGACGCTCGGGCGGCAGTCACGGCGTCACAGCGGCCCAGTTTCGGCTGGATGCTGTGACTCAGCGCGGCTCGTACCACGTCAGCCAGACCAGCAACCGCCATCACCGCACCTCAGCCAGATCAGCAGTCGCATCACTGTACGTCAGCCAGATTAGCAGTCTCCCCCACTGGTACCCATCAGCCAGACCAGCAGTCGCACCAATGTACCTCAGCCAGATTCAGCAGCCTCCACCACTGCACCTCAGCCAGATCAGCAGCATCATCGCTGTACCTCAGCCAGATCAGCGGCCCTCATCACTGCACCTCAGCCAGATCAGCAGTCGCATCACTGCACCTCATTCAGATCAGCAGCCTCATCACTGCACTTCAGCCAGATCAGCAGCCTCATCACTGCACCTCAGCCAGATCAGCAGTCGCATCACTGCACCTCAGTCAGATCAGCAGCCCCATCACTGCACCCCAGCCAGATCAGCAGCCCATCTCGGAGGGCGAGATGCTCAGAAGACATCGTATAAAAGAGGACTGGAGCAGACATGGCCCGCACTGAGGATCCAAGCCAAACCGGTCATTTGTTTCGGATTACAGAAAGTGTTTGCTGATGACTTCATCGGAGCCCACCCATTCCGTATGCACGAGAACGCTGGAACCGCCGACGGCGGCGAGTAAATGGTGGCCATGTTCTCTATTCTGAGCCACCAAGCCGTGTTGAACACCAACGATTAGCACAAATATGATGGCAACGCAGTTTCCATCTAGTGCAAACAAACTTCAGCAAATTGTTACCGACATTGTTAGTATCCACGGCGAACACATCACGGCACGTTGGTCGGCGAAAAGAAA